CCCATACCCCCCACAATCCGCCGCATCCCAATTTAAAATTAAGTGTACTACAGAACCCCTAAACGGAATAAATAGCCTGCGAGATGGGAGGATAAAAAAATATTTCAATACTTTCTCTCCCAATTATATCGTTGGGTAATTATACTGTACATAAATTGCGGGCATCAGGGAGCCGCTACTAATATGCAGGGCATTGAAACCGCTTTTGAATGCGCACTCTCATTTTACTTTTACTTTCGAGATTCGCGATCACACAGACTAAATACTATGGATTTCAATGGTACTGCCGCTACCACACATTTTACTAGATTAGATATTTGTCAGTGGTGCTCAGTACCTGCAAATCATTCGCCATTGTCCTATCAGTCATCTCTCCTTACTCTGTGTATGTGGTAAGTGAACTTTCATGTACTATAATGTAATAGTCTACCGCTAGCAAGCGGCTAACCATGTCCCATTAGTGTCTCCATAGAACGCGTTATTTGTTTTACATGCCTTTCTGCATACGGATTCACACTTCGGGCACACCCCCTAACCCCCGATGTCATCGTCCATCAAGATGTTTCACTGTAGACATAGTCCGATGCCAATTTGGTAGATATCACCCAAACCTAATAAGAGGTCATCGTACTAAAAGAATACCCTGAAAGTTTCAGAACTGAAAACGTCCTTGTTACTGAAATAAAAGCTTTTATTGACATCAGGCCCAGCGAACGCCAGATCCTGGAACGTGCCTACCTGACATAATAGATAGGTTAAACTCCGCCTCCACAGAAGAATATCATGCCGAATTCTGTAGCCCCGCCCACTGATACGCACATGACAGTCAGGGGTTAAAGCAAAAAATAAAAAAATCTTTTGACTGAATTTTTCCTCAGCCAAACCCCCATTCCACAGCTATACCTGTCACACACCCAGTTTAAGAGCAGTGTTTTCTTGTAATTAGGAGCGCTTGTCCTCCTAATTTTAAAAATGTAGGAGCACCTTCAGATCAATAATAAATTCTGATCAAAAATTTGCCTTCCTAATATGAGGTGACATTTGACTCCTTAAAGTGATTTACAGGGGCATTTTCTTTTTACCTTTGTAATGGCATATTTCTAATTTTATTAAATGTATTCAGTGTTTCCTAGGATTTTTTCCAGCTGTGGTGGCAGGACTATTTCTCATGGACCACGCCCCCTCCCCACCCAAGAATCACGTGCACTCAGAATTGAATTTATTTTAACTAAAAAAAGACATAGTAAATAATAAAATAAGAACAAATAAATTAATGACAATCAATGGCACAAACAAAAACAATAAGATACAAATTAAATTAACAGTACTTTAATTTTTTCAGTTAGGTCTATAATCTACTCAACTGTAAAATAACACTGGATAGTCTTCACTGTATAATGAAAGGCAGCAGGAGGTTTATTTAGGCTGCTGTGTCTTTAAGACCTCATGCACGGATCTAATATACTGTTACACATGGCTCTATGCTTACTTTTCTTTTTAGGAGCTCTTGTCCTCCTAATTTCAAAAAATTTAGGAACACCTTCTGATCAAATCAAATTCTGATAAGAAATTATCCTTCCTAATCTGAGGTGACATTTGACTCCTTAAAGTGACTTAAAGTATTTTCTTTTTACCTTTGTAGTGGCATAATTTTCATCTGTCAAATTCAAAAATGTATGTTTATTTATTATGTTTAATTTATTTATTTTAACATTTTTATTTAAAACAATATAATAAGTAGAATAAGACAAATAAGTTTCCAATCATATGAAATTAGTATTAGTTTCTTATACTAATATATATATTCTTATATTAGTAACAGACACAGAAAGATAGTTTACTATGCAAAACTATTATCCAATCATAGCAGTGGGCGTTTACTTCCAAGTCTTCAATGCGGCACGCCCATAAAAAACCAAGCATTTCTCGAGCCGGCCTCAAAACCAGGGTAGAAAATAACCTATTACTTATTGATTTTGATGTTTCTGAATGTAAAAACCACGCGAACGTCATAAGTGGACCTCAGACAACAGTATAAAATAATTTTTAAAAGCCCGTTCATGACCCCTTTAAAGTGGCTAAACTGTCATACTGAGCAAAATGTGATGAAAACATTCCCTAAAGTTTGGTAATGCCATTTAATTTTGTTGTACAAACAATAATATCTCACCTCCGCCCTCTGTTTGCTTTGCCTCTTCCTCTGCCTCTCTCTCCTGCAGCTCCTCTACCTCGCTCCCTTTCTGCCCCACGGCCTCGGCCAGGCTTTTGTTGCCGCCGGGACAGTGAAAGTCGAAGATCACTTGACATGCTGCTGTCTGACTGAGAGCCAGAGTCACTAAAGGAGGAACACAATCACCTGTCAAATCCTACAGATCTCCAAATCCTTTCATATTTATACTGATGAATGAAAGTGATTGTATTAGATTATTAAGCAAGTTTGCAACCCTGTGCATTACCTGCGATGATGTCTACTCCGGTCCCTGTGTCGGCTGTGAGGTGACGGGGATCGTGATGAGGAGTGGGATGAGCTTGAAGAGGGGCTTCTTTGAGAAAAGACATTTCTGTAGTTACCCAACCTGGCCCCGCCCCTGCCACGGGTGGCTCCACCTCTCCCAATAGCATTCTCCTGAGAACGATGAGGAACCGGCTCCCAGCGAGACTGCTTTGGCTTCAAACTGATAAAGCAAGTGGTTGTTTAGTGCCAGTAGTTAATAGTTTGAAATAGCATATCTGAAGCTGAATGAACGAAGAATGCTGAACTGAACCAAGGGTAGAAAATTACAGAACAGAGATGCAACCCACTCTGGCAGTGGTTCTCTGGTCCAGTCGATGGTGTAAGCAGAGCCATCCTGTAGTCTGGACTGCAGAAGGTCTTTCAGCACTTTTTCCGTACGGTCCTTATCCTCTTCAGATTCGCAGGCTGTAAAGCAGCGCTGTACATACTCTTTCATGGCCTGTGGCCAGTCCTGAGGCCTACAAGATATATAAAACGGTTTACAATTATTTAAAATGACAATTAAATATGACTTAGTTAATATGGGTAATACATTGCATTTAAATTAGCACAGCTCTAATGATTTACCTCAACTTAAAATATTACCCAGTATGCTTACCGAGTTTGGGCACTTCCTGAGGAAGTGGTAGAGGTTGCAGCAACAGACCCAGTCAATGGGTTTGTCGCAGTGGGGGAAGCCAATCCAGGGGCCTGTTCACCTGGAGTAAAGGTATGATTGGCCATGACATATGGGCGTTTTTGTACATTAAATTTGACAGCACTGGATCCAGGAGCTTCTGTAAGGGAAGAAAGAGAACATTAGGAGGATATAATTAAAAGCACACGTTGCACTAGGGCTGGGAAAATAAATAGATGCATCACGAGTGGAGAAATTATGCAGCATTGATTCTGAGATTTTCCAAATGCATCGCGATTCTTTCTCGAGTAGGTTCTGAGCTTAGTTTTGAACAGCAGAGGGCACTGCATGCTTTAGAAACAGCCATACTCTGCTTGTTTCCAAATCCTTACACACACTTGAACCTAAAATAATCATTCATAAAGTTTGAAAAGGTTTAAGCGAGTTACAAGGGTGTTCACAGTGGGCTGTGTTTACATTAATCTCACATCATAAAAGCATTCGGAGCAGAGGTGAAATTTTGACTCAACCGAACAAGCGCTCTTCTTCATGAGCGTTTGAGTGTGCGGATAAAACCTAAATTAGAGCGCCATCTGCTGTTAAAATCTAAGCTCAGAATCGATTCCAGAGAGAATCACGATGCATTCGGAATCGATCCACAAATCGATTCTGCATCGATCTATCGTCACAGCCCTACGCTGCACACACATAAGCGCAGAGACACGTACGTTTCATGCGTTGCCACAGCTGCTGGCCACCTTTGTTCATATTGCTATTGTTAGGTTTCTTAGCATCCACCCTGCCTGGGCCTCCGTACGGGCCCTGTCCTGGAGCCTGCTGCTGAGGGGGCTGATATGCTGGAGCTTGGTAACCCTGGTACCCTGGCCGAATGTGTCCTGAATTGTAGCCCTGCATCATAGGGTTTGAATCAGTGGGGCTGTATGGCATGGTACAATTAGGGCTGTAGGGGGTCTGGGATGATGGAGGGGGGTACTGGGCATTGGGTGGGGGAGGTATAGGGGGTGGAGGAGGGGGTGGGGGCTGGTCAGTGGATGTAGGACTCTGAGGGGGTGGTTGAGGGGTTGCAGGAGGAGGGGGCTGGGAGGAATAGCTGGAGGACTGATCTTCCATCATAGGCATAGCAGGGGCCTGAAAAAGAGAGGGAGGGATCTGTGAATTACTTAAAACTTACAAAAATAGTTGATATACATGGCCAGCATGAATTCAGAATGATATATGGAGGTCTATACCTGTCCAGTGGGTGTAGTGGGTGTCTGGTAGCCTCCTTGAACACCATACTGTCCTGGAGGATATGGTCCTCCATACTGAAGGAAAATATATAAATATTGAAACAGCACAAAATAGGTGGTACTAGCACAGTCATGAATTGCACAGTTTCTTTTCATATTCAGCTGCAGAGGTCTTATTAAAGGCTCCAATGTTATCCAACCAAAAGCATTCGATTTCTTTTTTTGTGAATATTATTTTGTGAATATTAATAATACAGCAGACAGCACCAGATCTACCAGGATACATTTCCAAGGCAAGGTGTATTTTGACACATATCTGAACACTGCTTTAGATTAGAGCATGTGCCAAAAGCATAAACACTCGTGCAAATGCTAAAATGTAGATGCATGTCAGACAGTTCCCTGTACTATCAAACAGCAAAAAGGCTAGTATTATACTTGCATTTAATTCTAGTATCAATGTAACAAGACTATACATTTTAGGAAATATACTTCTAATTGTGACTGAGGTCTTAGGGCAAATATATATAGGCATATTCTGTAAGAATTTGAAGGAGTGCATTTATTTACCGGAGGCATGGGGTAGTAGTAGTTATATGGATATGGGTAACCAGCATACTGTTGTTGGTTCTGTTGATACCACTGTTGATAGTATTGCTGCTGTTGTTGCTGCACTGCAGAAGAGTCTGTTGCCTGATAAGGTCCGGCCTAACAGAAAACAGAACAGAATCAACCATTTACCCACACAAAAGAGGCATAGACAAGTAAAGCAACTAGAAACCACCTCTACTCATAAAAAACACTAACCTGTTGGGGGGTGCGATTGGTTGGTGAAGTTTTGGTAGAGTTCTGACTTTTACTAATGGAGGCTAGAGCCTGTCGGGCTTTTTCCCATTCTGGGTTCTCATGGACTTGCCCTTCTCCGCTTGAATTACTACCATACGGCCTGTGCATGACAAGGTAAATTTGACTTTAGGTTACACAATATCTAGAACCTTCCTGTATTTTTTACATACAAAAATACAAAAAGTTCACATACAAATAAAACTGAATACATCAGCAACCAGTATATAACGTTATAATATTTGCACACTTTAAAATCTGCAAGTTAGTTTTATATTGAGTCACGCATATAGTTATTACGCATACCGTGCCTTGTTTAGATAATTAATGGCATAAAAGAGTGTTGGTTATATACCATAACGGTAATATTACAGCCTTGACTGGCTATCCGGTAAGTTAGTCAGGCCTTTAATAAACAAGCCAAACGTAGAAACGCAAGTCAAATTCCAACGTGGAATAACTTTTCAATGTAATTTGAACTAAAATATTAATGTTAACAGCGACGTCTTCGATCTAGACTAAATTGAAAAAAATTTATCTAAATTGTTTTTTTTTTAATTATCAAAAGACGATATAATTCGCTGAATATCCACCAAGATAAAGCAGCTAGGCAAGCAAACGCTAAAACCCTATGGACATTCACACCAACTTTTACATCATACATGCTTGGTAAAGGTTTCCGTTCATAGAATGCAGTCGTTCAAGAGTCAAAGTGATGTAGCAGAAGATATATGGTTTGATAAAAAGGATTTATAATTTTACCAGTTTGGTGTCGGGGCTTGCTGTGCCGCGTTCGCCGCCATTTCCCAGAGCTAACGTTACTAGCTACTTCTTATCGCGTCCGAAAATTCTACGCAAATATGAGGAAAATTATAGTTCTAACGTTTAATATAGGATGCTTAGTAGGAAATCGCGAACAAAAGCTGCTTAACAAGGGTTTATACCGAATTCCTTAAATATACCAAGTTTCAGTTGACATTAAAATTATACTGGAGCCCATATCAACTAGCTCGCCGAACTCAGCGTTTGAATGTCAACACCTCTAACAAAATGGCTGATGATGATAACACCGGAAATTCTGCCGCCTTCTCCCGCACACCAACTATACCAGCAGCCTGAACCGCATATCTATGCTGGAGCGTGCCACAGAGAAGGAAAAATAGGCCTTTCTAGACATAAAACAATCCAGATTAAATTGACATTGAGACCCAATTCTGATCAATCTGAAACATTTCTAAAAATATACATATATTTATTTTTATATTCAGCCCCGAAATGTATGCTAAGTACAATATACAACACAATAAAAACAGATTTAAAAAGGTCATTACAAAAACAAGTTTCATCGCTCACACAATAATATAGTTTCAATAAATAAAAACAATAATAAATACAGAAATATACACAAGCACATCCATAATTATAATCGTAAAACGTCCCCTCAAAACTTTGATTTTCATAAGTATTATTGTAAAAATGTTCCCTTTGATACTAACTTGAGAATCATTGTGTAGCAATTTATTGCTCCTTCATGCATCACCCTGGATGTCCTGTGTGCATCTCTTTCTGGGTCAGTCTGTTTTCACTGCTGTGTCACTGTATAATAAAGCCACTTAGCAGTATAGTGTTGTATACAACTGTATACTGTTTGTCTATTGACATTTTCTTTTCTCTATATTTTATTACTATATTGTTATTTATAATTTATTGTCTATTCTATTTATTATTATTATTTTTATTACCTTATGTCTGCACTGTTTGTACTTTCTGTACTGGAAGCTCCTGGCACCAAGACGAATGCCTTGTGTGTGTAAACACACTTGACCATAAAGCTCTTTCTGATTCTGATTCTATATAATTGTATTACTGTATTGTAGCCCACTTTATTGTTTCTGGGTTTAACTTTTTCTTAGATTTGTTTGTTTATTTGTTTGCCGAAAGGACACGTAGGACGTTCATAAGGAATGGCACTATGTCTAGAAAACTTCAGAGAAGCGTACTGTCTCTGTCCTGGGCTGCTACCAGAAGCACAGGCTGGTTTCGCCAAGATAAGGACACGTCAGGCACGTAACGCAGATACACTGTAGCGCTCCTTTCATTGGCCGAACTTTCCTTTATTTTGATTGGTTCCACTGACCAAGCGGACCCTTGAGTGACAGCTCACTCTGGCCAATAGAAGCACTGTAAAAACATTTAAACGCCGTCTCCTCTCTCTCTCCTAAATAGCTAGATGCCATGTCAGTCTATTTTTATGCTTTTCATTGGCCAGGCCCCAGAATAAGGCGGTACATTATTTGTTGTTGTTGTTAGTGGGAAAAGTGGACCAGTCGACATCTTCAACATAGAAGGCGACTTAAAATATATAAAGTGATTGAGTTTTGGAAGTCGACATCCTTACTGCGCTGATTCGGCCACCTGATATTCGTCCAAGTGGGGAAGACAGGCGTTGTATTTCACTGAATCCATCAGCACCCCATCCAAGGTATGCTTGGTGTTTACCACAACGACCAGTAAACCCAGTTCGCGACTGTGGGTAAGGTTAGTTTCATGCTGGAAACGAACGTGAATTTGTGGTGACTCAAAGGCTCAAACCCCAACCCCGCGGTCACCCGCACTATTTCACTTTTGTTCCTGATCGAGGATTTTGCAGCTCGCGGCCTTACGTCATCAGCAGTTGTTATGGGCGCAGCTATCTTACATTATCATGCGCTTTCTGACGACAGCAGATTGTTATTGTTTATTATTAAAAGCTGGGTTTGTGGAAATTGTACAGTGAGTGTTCCCGGAGCGGCCAGTGCTGTGGAGGACATGTTTTCGCATTGCAGCACTCCTTGTTGCAACTTCTTTTAGCAACACCATCATGAATCACAAGCCCACGTGATCTGCTACAGTATATAGAATTTCTGGCATGCTTTTGCACACTCAGCTGTTCCGATGTCAAAGTATGTGGGAGTAAATGCAAAAAATGTCATATGACACATTTAATTTGTGTTCTAACGGGATGTGTGTTCATGTCTGTATTATGTAATGTTCCTCTGCAGGGCATGAGAGACTTTGGTGAATGGTTGGGTGAACATAAACAAAACAGACAGGCACTGCAGCCGGTGTTTTGCACCCTGCCAGATTATGCATCCCCTAGTATTGGTAGGTTTAGGAGTAGGTGTGGGGGGAGGGGTTAGGATTAGGGGTGGGGCTGGGATTAGGCAATCATGTAGCGATTTTAATGGAGGGGGCATAATCTGGCAGGGGTGCAGAATTCGGCACAACCAAGCGGCAACCTCCCCCTCTCTCTCGTGATATATTATATATATATTACCTTATTAATTCTTTAGTATAGCAAACAATATGACCTCCTTACCTGCAGTCCTAGCCCAGAATTCAAGTTTAGGTGCATTTGACTTGGCAGCAAAGTACCCCCAAAAGGATTCAAAAGCATGTCTTTATTTGCATTCACGTAATGAATACTAATGATCACAGAGCTGACTGGCCATACAATGCTTTATTCATCAATTAAATAGATGAAATACAAAAATGCAATGGTACACAAAAACATTACATGCAATTCACAATTGCTATAAAAACTTTTGAAACATTTTTCTGTGCAGTTGCTATTGTTAACAAGTTTCCAAATATGATTTTAAATATGGCTTCATAACCTGCAGTCCTGATCTAGATTTCATAAATAATACTATGTTTGCATTAACTAATCTACTAATTAACCATTTTTAATGGTTAATTAAAAATTTAATTATTTTCGATTATCCGGGAGTGACGCGTCCACTTTTGAGTTTCAAAAACGCTCTTCGGAAATCTACGGGTGACGTCACGGACACTACGTCCATGTTTCTATGCAGTCTACGGGCACAACACCGGTCTAGTTCTAGTAATAAAAGATGTTGAAGCATTTTCCACAACCTTTGATAAAACGGCATTAAAAATCTGTTAAGTTGTGCAGGTTGAACTAATGCAGACATTGTGATGGTTTAACTTTGTGACATTTCTATCTTTATAATTATTATTAAAAATCTTTTCGATTTATTATGACTTTTAGCTATTGTATTTTGACAAGCCTGTAGAAAATATACACGTGGTATGAATTTGAACATATGGCAGAAGTTTATGCCAGCAACATCTGGACTGAGGGCAAAGGAGAGGAAGAGCCCATGGTGGGATGGGAGAAGGCCCAGAGAGTTTCATGGAAAAATTATTTGTTATCTCTAAAATATACTGACTGACTTGATTAGATAATAAATGTGTTATTAACGATCATTTGCATATCTCATTGCAAGTGTTTTTTTTCTGCCCGTGTTTGAATTATAATAACTAAGGAGGATGATTTTATATATCAGATGAGAAAGCCTGAGATGTTTTTGTTTGTTATATTTTAATGTTGATGTTATTGTTCATGTGTGTGTTTGGCCCTCAGATGTCTAGCCAGTATCAGCGAAGTGTTCCACTGGAGGTCAGGAGAGCGGAAGGAGAGAGAGTCCGCACCAAACATCCAGATAAAATCCCGGTCAGTCTCACGGTTGGAAACTACAATAACAAACAATAATACATTTCTGTTACATTAAGACATTTTTTTTTTCACCCAAAATTGAAAATTCAGTGATTATTTACTCACCCTCAGGTCAATCCAAATCATTCTTCTGCAGGACATAAAAGAAGATATTTTGAAGAATGTTGGTAACCAAACAGCTTTGGTGACCATTAAAAAAAATGTTTTTGAGGCATTTATCGAAATATATTTTTGTGTGTTTCACAGAAGAAAGAAAGAAAGTCAAACAGGTTTGGAATGATAGGAGAGTGAGAAAATAATGACAGAATTTGAATCTTCAGAATATTATATTGGGTATTTACTTGTTTGTTTGTCTCCTTAGATAATTGTGGAGAGAGCTGCAAGGTCACGGGCCCCTGAGCTTGACAAAAAGAAATACCTTGTTCCTTCAGACCTCACAGGTGACAACTCTTATTTCATACAGTATATGCTCCCCAACAGGATGTTATTAAAAAAAAATAACATCTGTAAATTTACAGCGGAAATCAACTCATCTTATGATTGCCAATAAGCATTGCATAATTTTATACCGGGATATTAAGGCCTTTTCAATTTTTTTGAGACTGTCTGACCTTAAACTTCCCTATTCCTTTCTTCTTTAAGAAAGAAATGAAACTGTTAAGTTTTGATCTGACTGAGTTTCTCTCCACACCCTCCTCGTCTTCTTCCAGTCGGTCAGCTCTGCTTCCTGATCAGACAGCGGGTGTCTATGAGACCAGAAGAAGCGCTCTTCTTTTTCGTTAAAAATTCCCTCCCTCCATCCAGTTCCCCCCTCTCTGCGGTGTATGAGGTAACTTGAGCACCCTTCCTCTTCATTACCGCTGAGTAAGATACTGAACTTTATTAGCATAGGGTGTTCAAAAACTAATTTTGTTTTTAAAATGCTAAATTAGTAATATGATTAATAAATAAATTCATGTTTGAAAATCAAAAATGGAAAACTGAAAAACTTAATATAGCTAATATACACAATACCATTCAAAAGGTTGGGTCTGTAAGATTTTTTTTTTTACGTTTTATAAGTAGCAGCTTACGCTCACAAAGGCTGCATTTATTTGATTAAAAAAAGTGTAATCTGTAGTATTGTGAAATATTATTACAATTTAAAATAGCTGTTTTCTGTTTGAATATATGTTAAGTCCATTACTCCGGTATTCCAAAATGCTGATTTGCTGCTCAAGACACATTTTTTATTCACATTTCTTAACTTAACGTTGAAAAGAGTTGTGCTGCTTAATATTTTTGTGGAAACCATAATACATTTTTGTTCAAAACTGCATTTTATTTGAATTTTTGTAACAATATAAAAGTCTTTACTGTCCCTTTTGATCAATTGAATGTCTTTTTTTTTGGAAAAAAAAAGTATTTATTTAAAAAATAATAAAAATTCTTACGGACCACAATCTTTTGAACAGTTTATACGCAGTTTTTACATTTAAAAAATAATACTAATAAATTGTTTGATCTAAATTTATCATCTCTGTCTCTCTTTTTAGGAACACCATGAAGAAGACCTGTTCCTTTACATGACATACAGCAATGAGAGTGTTTACGGTGCCTGAGATGAAGGATGAAAGGCCTGAAGGGAAGAGACGGAGAAAGAGAGAGAGAAAGATGATACATTATTTTACCACTATTATCCCATGTTCAATACATGGTACCTACAGGGTTCATTGTTCATAAGGGGGACTAAAGGGTGCTGTTTGTATTTGTCAGTATTCGGGGGAACTACAATGCGATTCATTAAACAGATTATTGGCAGTAAAGCTTCGGGACTTGAGAATTGAGAGACACTTACAAGAAAATAAGAAAATGTAAGGTCAAAAACAACAATAGAGATAAATTTTTTGTAACAATATAAAAGTCTTTACTGTCCCTTTTGATCAATTGAATGTCTTTTTTTTTGGAAAAAAAAAGTATTTATTTAAAAAATAATAAAAATTCTTACGGACCACAATCTTTTGAACAGTTTATACGCAGTTTTTACATTTAAAAAATAATACTAATAAATTGTTTGATCTAAATTTATCATCTCTGTCTCTCTTTTTAGGAACACCATGAAGAAGACCTGTTCCTTTACATGACATACAGCAATGAGAGTGTTTACGGTGCCTGAGATGAAGGATGAAAGGCCTGAAGGGAAGAGACGGAGAAAGAGAGAGAGAAAGATGATACATTATTTTACCACTATTATCCCATGTTCAATACATGGTACCTACAGGGTTCATTGTTCATAAGGGGGACTAAAGGGTGCTGTTTGTATTTGTCAGTATTCGGGGGAACTACAATGCTATTCATTAAACAGATTATTGGCAGTAAAGCTTCGGGACTTGAGAATTGAGAGACACTTACAAGAAAATAAGAAAATGTAAGGTCAAAAACAACAATAGAGATAAATTTTAAAAAAACAATAGTAGAGTAAGCAAGTATTCATTTCATCTTTCTCTCCCAGGACCGAGTCATTTGTATTTAATGCAAATAGGTTTTTGTTTTTTGTAAAGTATTATCAATAACTTTGTGCATATAATAAAAATCTGTAAAATGTTTAAGCTTTTTTTTTGTGTGTAAGTTTGTACATAATGTTTACAGTATTTGTTTTGGTGGAAATTAGGTTTAATTCATTATTTATACTACTGCCATTATTTATATTATTCAGCAATTTTTTTAAATACTAATATTTAAACACTTAACCATATAGACCAGGGGTCTCCAAACTTGGTCTTGGAGGGCCACTGTCCTGCAGAGTTTAGCTCCAACCCTGATTAAACACACCTGAACCGGCTAATCAAGGTCTTACTAGGCATGTTAGAAACTTCCAGGAAGGTGCGTTGAGGCAAGTTGGAGCTGAACTCTGCAGGACACCGGCCCTCCAGGACCGAGTTTGGAGGCCCCTGATATAGACACCAGCAACTCATAGAAACAGTGTTTGATATGTTTGAAATGTCTTTTCCTATAGGATAAGACATGACTAGTGGTTTGAGTCATTCTCACAGTATGAAAAAGAGAGAAGTGAAGGATATCGTGGCGATGTGCCGGACTCTAATGAGGAAGTTGCGGGAAAACAACTGATCATGTGTGATGCTCAGAATTATCCTGGTGTGAGAGAATTAGCATCAGGTCAGCATATTTCATGTGTGAAGCTTTTCAGTTACTCTCATTTATTCTCCAAACAGTTTAGACAATAGGAAATTAAATCAGTTTTGCTAAAGAGTTTGCACCTACTGGGACCTCTGTCAAGTTAGTCAGGAAAACGAAACTCAAGGGAATTAGTAGACAGAAAAAAAAAAATGGAAAGCAAGAAAGAGGTGGAAGTGGAGTTGGAGGAGATTGCAACGGTTGAGGAGGATAAGGAGAAAGAAAATCAGGAGAAGGAGACAAAAGGTAAAATCTTTAATAAAATCTTTAATTTATAAGCAATAAACAAGTTATAACTGCTGAAATTTAAAAACAGAACTCTTCCCTTTGGGAGAGCCTGCTTTATGATTCAGTCTGATTCAGTCATTATATATACACATCGATCTTGCTTCTCTCTTGTTTTCTTTTCATATCTAATTATTCTTTTCAACTGGATTGTCTCCAACTGACTTTGCAGAAGAGGCCGTAGATGAAGGGAATGTCTACTCTACTCTCAGCAGTCCGTCTGAGCATGAATATGGCGTGCCATCTTCAATTCGCTCTTATACAGTAAATAAAGGTAACACACTTTTTGTACACATCAAAACTCTTTTTTTTTATCACTGCACATTTCAGGCCAATAAATAGCTAGTGTCAAAAAATACCCATTTAATGATAAAAAAAAAATCCAGGAGTTTGATTTATGGCAAGTTTTGATTTGTGCATAAATTTAAATTATAAAATAAACTTGGGCGTATTCAAATACTGTATATAAATAATGCTACACTCTTAAAGATAAAGGTTTCAAAAGGGTGTTTCATGACATAGCAGAAAAATTTTGGTTTCCCAAAGAACCTTTCAATAAACAGATCTTGAAAGAATCATTTTTTTTTTAGTGTGAAGAACATTTTAATAATCTAAAGAACCCTATAAACTATAAAGAACCTTTTGCACTGGAAAGATTCCATAGATGTTAAACGTTCTTTATGGAACCGTCAATGGCAATAAAGAACCTTTATTTTTAAGAGTGTATAAATACATTTTAATTATATATATATATATATATATATAATTACATGCATATTCATTGTGTGATATAAAATCCAGCTGTCTCTGGTCTAAAACAGGACAAGTGAAAATGGCCAGAAAGAGGAACAAAAACAGATGGAGAAAAAAACAACTGATGCGGTGGTCAGTGAAATAGAGCAAAGTATCAAACAAAACAAACATTCTGATCTCAAGATTAAAAGACGTATGTAAAATGGTCTACATTGTAAAAAAAAATAAAAAATCTACAGTAAAATATAGGTTACCAGAATGTTATTATGATAAAGTTGCATGCTTGCACACAAGTGGCATTTAGGTGACAGTATTTTAGAACATAAAAATGTAAAATAAAAATGTATTAGAACAAAACAAAGTCAAATGAAACATAAATAAATGTTATGATTGATGTTAGGACTTTTTTTAGGAATCCAAAAAGTTTGCGTGCCCCAAAGAAACTTTGTGTTTACTCACAAAACCTTTGCCTTCTTTCACAAAACCTTTGTGCTCCCTTTTAAAAATTTTGCATTTGCTTGCAAAACTTTTTAGTTCTTTTTGAGCAAGGGAACTCAATGCTTTTTTTCAGGTAATGCAAAACGTTTGCAAGCTAATGCAAAGTATTTTGGAGAACGCAAAACATTTATGAGAACGCAAAAGCAAATATAATAATTTTTTGGGGGGATAATTATATCATTATATCACCATGTCCCTTTAGTATGGAAGCCCGTTTCCGCCACTAAATAAAAAAATATAATTCTGTAAGTCATAATAATGAGAAACTTTCTCAAAATTATGACTTAGTATCTCGTTATAATGAGAAACTTTCTCGTAATAATGACTTAGTTTCTCGAAATAATGACTTATTTTCTCATAATAATGACTTAACCTAATCCAAAAAAAACAAAAAATGACTTACTCGACGCATGCGGAACGCAAGATTGACAGCACGCTAGCGACATCTGTTGGTCAAAGCCATGCAGGAACACCGCTAACATTGCTTTGTTCTGTAATCTAAAGTGTATCATGCTATAGTCTGTCATTAAATAACGATTTCAGATCAATGATCTGTATGTAGTCTTTTGTGTAATAGTTACTCTGCCAGATAGTTATGGCTTCAAACATTCCAGACCAATATTTCAGTTAAGAAATCCAGGCATTTTATGAAGAAATGAAAGCCATTACACATATAAACTTAATTTATAGATGTGTATTTCGATGATTTATTAGTTTTATTAGCGGTCCCTTTCATGCATCACATGCAATGTTAGCGGTGCTCCTGCATGGCTTTGACCAACAGATGGCGCTAGCGTGCTGTCACTCTTGCGTTCCGCAGGCGGCGAGGAAGTCTTTTTTTTTTATTTATTTTTTATTTTTTTTATTAGGTTAAGTCATTATTATGAGAAACACTAAGTCATAATAACGAGAAACTAAGTCATAATAATGAGAAACTAAGTCATAATAACGAGAAACTAAGTCATTATTTCGAGAAACTAAGTCATAATAATGAGAAACTTTCTCATAATAATAACTTAACCTAAAAAAAAAAATAAAAAAAAACTAATCCAAAAAGAAAAAAAAAAAGACTTACTCGACGCATGCGCAACGCAAGAGTGACAGCACGCTAGCGCCATCTGTTGGTCAAAGCCATGCAGGAACACCGCTAACATTGCATGTGATGCATGAAAGGGACAGCTAATAAAACTAATAAATCATCGAAATACACATCTATAAATTAAGTTTATATGTGTAATGGCTTTCATTTCTTCATAAAATGCCTGGATTTCTTAACTGAAATATTGGTCTGGAATGTTTGAAGCCATAACTATCTGGCAGAGTAACTATTACACAAAAGACTACATACAGATCATTGATCTGAAATCGTTATTTAATGACAGACTATAGCATTATACACGTTAGATTACAGAACAAAGCAATGTTAAGTTTCTCATTATAACGAGATACTAAGTCATAATTTTGAGAAAGTTTCTCATTATTATGACTTACAGAATTATATTTTTTTATTTAGTGGCGGAAACGGGCTTCCATACTTTAGGTATATATTGCCATGTTAATTACAATTGCCAGTTTACCAATTTTTTACAGCAGCATTCTTTACCTTTAAAATGACATTGTGAGTGGCTGTGGTATTGCTTAGCTTAATATTAAACAGTATACTCTTTAATAGCAGCATTTCTATCCATTATTGTTAACCCAGTGGTTTCTCGTTTGAAACATCTGTTACCATAGTTCAATGTAAAAAGCATATCTGGGACACAGCTCTATATTTTGTTCTCTCGAGGACAGCGGGTATCTTGTTTTGTCCAGAGAGTACTTCAAGGTTTCAGAAGGGCAGGCGAGGACACAGAGCGTCGTAATCAGACTGTACGGATGAACGTCTTCAAAAGCCCCTGCGCGCGGTCGAAACCTTATGGGATTAGAAATCTGCCACAAATCTGCACATATTTTGAGGCACAAATGTGCATTTTGCATGCGCGCTATTTGAGTTTTGTGGAGAAAATGTTCGTCTCGCAAAGAAAAACTTATTTTGAGCGCACTAAAATCAATTTTGCATTTAAAATATGTTTTTGGATGTGTGCAGACCCTACGGTGCCCGGGAGGTGACATGGTCGGTTCACTTATTTTTGTCGTGGCCATGACATAATAACTCGTGGGAACGTGATAATATGTTGTGGCCACGAGATATTAATTCATGGTAACGTCATTTTAACTCGTGGGAATGTGATATTATGTCGTGGCCACGAGATAATTTTGAGGTAATGACATCCTTATGTCGTGGCCTCGAGATGCTATGTTGAGGGGACGATATCCATTTCTCGTGGCCACAACTTCTTATGTTGAGGGAACGACATATTTTTCTCGCGGCAACGAGTTTAATGCCTTAACAAACCTGCGTGACCATAGCAATCTGGGATTATCAAAAATGGATAAAACATTTTTATTAACATTAAAGGGATAGTTCACTCAAAAATTTTAATTACCCCATGATTTACTCACCCTCAAGCCATCCTAGGTGTATATGACATTCTTCTTTCAGACGAATACAATCTGAGTTATATTAAAAAACATCCTGGCTCTTCCAAGCTTTATAATGGGAGTGGATGGTAGCCCAAAATTTGAAGTCCATAAAAATTTTACCAATTCATTATAAAAGAAGTCCACACGGCTCCGGGGGGTTAATAAAGGCCTTCTGAAGTGACATGATGCGTTTTTGTAAGAAAAATATCCATATTTACAACTTAATAAACCTTAATCTCTAGCTTCCACTAACTGTCGTACGCACATTCATGAGAGAGTGGCGTCCAGCGGATGATGTAGCATGTAGGCAAATGCGGTGAGACTTGTTTCTCACAAGACTTGCATATTCTCACCGGGGTTTACGCTACGCCTACGTCATACATCATCCGCTGGACACCACTCTCTCGTGAACGTGCATACGACTGTTATCGGCAGTTAGAGATTCAATGCTTTATTGGCATGTCGAGCATTTACAGTAGGCTATTATTTACAAAAGTATTCATAAACATTAAGTAAAGATTTCGTAATTAAGGGAAAAAATTTATATAAATGAATATAAAAATATAACCAATAATAATAGGCTAATAATAATAATAATAATAATAATATACAAATATTACGGGAAAAAGACGATCAGTTAATGGACTTACAAGACTGTAGGATGGATAAAAATGTTTTCTTGTAGGCCTATTTTATATTATGCACTTTATGTAACATTTATTCATGATAAACTTCATTTGAATGCTGACTAACGCACGTAATACAGTCCGATAGCCAAGGCCTATGGTTAATATAATAATTTAATAATGTAATAATTTCTATAATAAATAATATAATAATTTTTTAATTCAAAATAAAATATTAATGAATCCATCTCTGATAATCCCGGGTTGCTATGGTTACACAGGTTTGTTTACACATTAAACTCGTGACCACAAGAAAAATATGTCGTTCCCTCAACATAAGAAGGATATATTTTAACTCTTCTGCTGTACTGTACTGTATTTTCCTCTTCTGCTGTTGTGGTATTCGGCAAGTACGCAAACGGCAAGTCTAAACCGAAACAGCTGCAGCCGGATTCAGGTGATGAATGTTGCGAGTGCAGATCTCTTGACTTCCGTCATTTGGCGGTCCATGTAACGACAAATGTATGATGTTTTTCTCCAGATCCATCGCTAGATATTCACCGGAAACTCCGTGTTTACCGCATCGTCTCGCTGATTCTCTTCGTCATCTGCGTCCTTTTGCTGATTGTGGTCCTTGTGCTGGTTATGAAGTGTAAGTATGACCATCTTTTATATGTACAGCGTGGAACCTATAAAACAGTATTGTATTCATTTAACCCTTTTATTGTCTTCGACTTCGGGCCATTTTTGGTCTAAAATACGCTATTAATACCACATCGTTTTTGATATTGGAAACAGGCTTTGTGTCTAAAGGATCTAAACAAGAAAAATATAAGCTTACGTAATTGGCAAAAATAATAATATTAATAAAAATAAATGAAATAACTATTAAATATATGGTCCACATTATCTTTCCAGGGTTTGACGTGGGCTTCTGAAGAAGCACTTGTGGCCTTTGGCCTTTCAGTATGATATGCAGCTTAATTTTTTTATTTGTAAACTCGAATTAAATTTGAATGAAAATATTTCACATTTAAAATACCATCTAGGGTTTAACCCTTCACACATACTGTTCTCTATGATAGGGTACAATGGTGCTAAATGCATGGATGCAATTTTCTCCATACACATAAACTGCTTTAAATTCATAAACTTGTTCATAGACTAATATATATTTCATTGTATTGTGACGTGAACGGCTAAAAGAAAACGAACTTAACCAGGAAAAGAGTCACATTTTTTCCCAGAGTTCATTTAAACTTTGAGAACAGATAAAAACAAATTTTTCTTTAAAGTGGTCTTTAGACCAGTTGGACCATAATGAAGAACGATTATGAATTTTTAATGGTTTTCAAGGATCACAAGTGGGTGCAGTTTTCAGAAAAATTGGTGGGTTAAAATTAGTATGAAAAACAAGTTTACCGTCAGGAAAATGTGAACAAAAAAGAAAATGAAGGTAAACGTACCTATTAAGCTCACCAAAATCTACATTGAGACATTTTAGCACACAAAATATTGGTTTCAGTACAAGAAGTTATGTTAAAATAAAATATTAATCTCTCACACATAAATATGTAATTTTATTTGAAATGACAAAAGCATCTCAATACATCATTAAATGCAAAAAGTCTGGCTGTGCTTAATGGGTACACGTTTCTACCCTTTAAGCACACCCCTGTTCCCATTAAGCTCACATCATGTTTTATTAAAAATTCTTGTTTATTTTAAACAACCTTTTTAAAGAATAATTGAAATTTTTTTTTATTTGAAGGTACAAAGTCAATCACAAAAAAAAACTGAACACTAAAATCAAGCAACAAGGCTTGATCAGTTATATATTCATAGTGAAGTGTCATTTAAGCACATTGCAACATCCAGACTAGTTCACACGTTCAGCTAAATAACACATATTCAAAAATAAAATAAAACCAATAAAATATTTCATTCATGGGGATGAACACAGAAACTAGCCTCATTATGAAGCCTCTTATTAAATGGATCAACTTATCTATAGTCTCTTAAGGCTACACAAGGAATACACTACACAATATTCCACCGATTTACAGTCAAGTTGACGCTAGTTGCCAAAGGTCAGAGCCGGTCTGCAGATTTGAGTTATTTAATAGAAAATCACGTACTGTATGATGATCACAGATTCTCAGTCGTTTAGTGTATGATGCCCAGTTTTCCTTTGTGACTATTTACAAAGTCTGTAAGTGTATGATGCCTGGTGTTTTAAAAATCTGTTCAAATTTTAAAAGTCGTGTAGTGTATTCCAGCCTTTAGTTGCTTTTTTTCCTGGACAGATACTACAGGTTTCTGTAGGCTCCTTCTTTGAATGGATGACATGCCTCTTTCATCTTTGAGCATAAACTATAGTTATGTCTAGATTTTGTTAACTTAAAGCTGTGAAAATAAGTTATTAACCATTTTATAAAGATTACCTTAAGTGACAGCCATCAGTTAATATTTAAAGTCTGTTTATGAAGTATTTACATAGATGTTCAATGTGGAAGAGCTTAAATAGAGCACACTGAGCTTAATTGGAGCAGCAACTATTTTTTTATAAATTTCATGTAATATTTATTAAAATGACAATATTTTGCTAAATAAATAATCTAGGTCGTGTATTGTTCATACATATTTTGTTATGAACAACTATTATTAACAATATCTATGAAATTATACTTTTTCTTATTGATGTCACACTGAAGCTGTGTGATTTTCTTAGTAGTGTACCCTTTAAGCTCACCTTAAAATAATAAGAAATCTTAAAAAATGACAGCAGTGTAAAACCACAGACCAGCAATAAACTGTACATTTATAATATTATGGATTTAAAAGTACAAGTCAGTACAATGTTAAAGAACGCGACACACACTTCTCCCAGAAATCCTGTATAATTCAACCAATCCGATGACGACTTCGAAACTCCTGAAGTGTTTCCAATTTTGTGTGCCAACGGTCCGTGGGCTCAGTCTGAGGCTGAGACTACTTTATTATGGCACCACAGTACTAAAATAACTGTAATAACTATGGTATGGCAGTTGGTTTTATAGAGGTTACATTGTTACATTATGTTCTGAACAGTGACTGGGACGCTGCCATGTCAGAAGGTAGAGCAGACTGAAAGGTCTCCACCGGAACAGGAATGCAGCTTGAAGAAATGCCCTGAGGTTTACCAACTGCCTCGTGAGTTTGTGAACAACAGACATATGGTTTTCTAAAGGTTTTATGTATGTTTGAAAAAAAAATTCCTATGTGAAACAAATTTTTTTTCTTCACATCAGTGTTTTCTTGTTTCCCCACCTAAATGTCTGTGTGCAGAGCGTCTGTGCAGGGATTGTGGCAAGGGCTGGCTGAGGTTTGAGAATACTTGTTACTTCCTGTCTCAAAACCGTTTCTCCTGGCAGCAGAGCAGGGAGGAGTGCCAGAGGAAGGGAGGAGATCTTGCTGTCATCACTAATGAACGTGTACAGGTCAGTAAATACGGTGAAATTGAAACTAATAGAACTGATTCGCATATTAGTGTATTCATATGCTTTTTGGCAATATCTCTTCTCTGCAGATGTATCTGAGTAGGAAAGGGAGTTTGCGCTACTGGATTGGGCTAAGTCATTTGGGGACAAATGAATGGACATGGATTAACAACACTACTTTGACAGTGAGGTGGGAAAATAATGATGGTTCAAATGAAAAAAAAAAGTGTTTTTTGAAGTGCCTCTTTGGGTCTGTTTACTACATTTTTAAGCTGTTTGTAACCATAAAATGGGCAAAATATTTCTAATGATTTTTCAAATTTGTTACACTTTACCCCCTTTTTTCAAATAATCGCATTGTTTAAAAAAAAAAATATATATATATATATTTAAATTGCTGATATGTTTTTTTTAGACCAAAAAAAATATCATACATTTTTTCTCCCTCTGATTCTGGACAAAACAAAAACAAAAAAAGTTAATAATTTTGAAAAAGAAAACTGAATATTTAACATAAAGAGGGGAAAATGTGAAAAATCATTGGGAATTTTTGCCTAGTTTTTGTTGTTAAAGCAGAAAAAAATTACATAAAATAGGAAATAAATGCAGAGAGGCACTTGCAAAAAAAAAATAAAAGTTACAAATAAAAACAAGTATTGTAAAATGAAAATATTTAAATGTGGTTTAGTAGCTACTGACTGACTGTGGTTCTTATGCACACAAATAGATATTGGGGAAACCAATCCTTTCCTGGAGAGTGTGCCATCCTGGCTGGAAATGAACCACCTGAACGGAGCTGGCACCCATCTTCCTGCAGTTTTTACTTGCAGTACATTTGTCAGAAGATGTAGATGTCCGAACATCATCTAAACCCACTGAAATCACCTATATATATGGATATCATAACTCAACAAATACTCAAGATAATCATCTTTTCTCTAAAGATTCTAGTCAGAAATAGGAACTTTTGGGCTATCAACACTGCGTAAAGCTTTTTTTGTAGAACGTGCATTATGAAGCATTATAGATGCAGTATAAAACAGTTTTAGAAATTGTCCTGTTTATTTGCATTACAGCTGCACTTATTTCTAAATGTACTGATCATTTACACAAAGATTATTTGCACTAAATATGTCTAATGTTCACACGATGTACTGAACTGCACATACTTTCTCTTTAAAATGTCTCTTTTGGATTGCTTAATTAAACATACACCTTTATATTTAACAATATTGATGGTGCACAGTTCAGCTTTGTCTACCCAGTACAACACATATATTTGTATATTAAAACACACATAAATAACTCAGAATAATTTAACAGGAACCCTTTAAATATTAGGAATGTCATTTTTAGATATACTTGATATCTGGGCAATCCACATTTTCTTCCTTTTCACATTCTATACTCTGCCGAATGAGCTGCCAGCATTTTATTGGTCTCCTCTGGATTCTAGGCCTCTTTTTCACAATAAAATTGGTCTGCAGTGGATCATTTCCAGGGTCATTCTTGCCTGTTTCCTCTGTCTCCTTAGCTGGTTCTCCATCCTTTGAGAATGCATTAATGTAGCGTTTCATCTTTTGCACCAATGGGTCATTGCGATCCTCCACTCTGGAATCACGAGATATTGTAAAGAAATAAGACTAATCAAATTGAGAGTGTTTCGTGATGCTTTTTCAAGGCATCCTTACCGAAGGTACCAGCGTTCTCCAAGGCCAAACGCCAGACCACAGATGCCCAGTCTTGGCCACAGGCGCAGTGGTAACTTCTGTTCAAGCATCAGAGTAGTGGCCACCACCTATGATCAGAGAAACTGATGTTTTTTCCCAGCATGCTTTTAGAACAATTACTGTGGGATTGTACTAGCTACACTACCAACCTGGGTCCTCCAGAGTTCATCACGTTCCTGGGTGACCCTCCACTGTGTGTCGCTCATCATGGCGATCAGGAGGTTGAACAGGAGGATGTAAGCGACCACACTGAAGTAGATGTGGACAGAGTGCACGACTGGATGGGTGTACAACATATGGTCCACTGGCAAATCTATTAGACCAATGCTCAGCTCAAACTGAGTGAAAATGGTGATGGGGAATGAGCGGTATGGCGGTAAAGCCGAAGGATCTTGGGTTATGTAATAGACCCACAAGCCTGAGGAAGGAGACATTATTTACATTACAGATTTGCATTTGATATGAGTTTCTTTTGATACAACTGTATTTGAACTAACCAGCAGATGATCCAGTAAGGAAGATAAGGGACAACCACATGAACTTTGTCATATCTCCAAATATTGTCTGCAAAAGAACATCCACACATGTACATTATAAAGCTATACTGGGTCTACAAACCGACAAGAATGAGCAGCTGCCTCAGCAAAACCCTCCACCTTCTGAATCACAATGACATAGGGTCCCAGCATCTCAAAACCTCGGGCGAAGTACATAACATTGGACCAGCCAAGAACCAAAGCCCAAGCCATTGGCACAAGCTCTTCTGCCATTCCAGTGGTCCGCAGCACACACAAAATCACAACCAGACTCGCGTAGCCAATTCTGCCACAGAAATACAAGGAAATGAAGCGTGAGTGAATGCATGCAGTCAAACATTTTTCATTGAACATGATAATCCGCCTATAGAGTGGTGCAGGTATGACGTCAGAACTGGCAAGACTAATTCGCCGCTTGTTCCTTTTTGATTTTCCTGTTTACTTGGTCGGTGTCTCGTCATAGCTGTGGGTGTGGTGTGGGGGGAAACAATCCTTTCCCCTGTACTGGAAAAGCATTGTGTTAACCCAGTGTGGCCTACATAGAATCACTTCTGCCGCTCGACAGAGCAAAATACGTAGAAAAACTGAGCCGTATTAGGTCGGACTGTCAATACAGTATCTGTGACTGGACAAACGACCCAACGGAATGGCCAGAGGTGTTCTTTTATGTGATTAAGTCTCCAGATAAGAGACAGCTAACTGCAAGCCCATAAATATGTGACCACTTGTGAAAGTAAACATTTGTCGTTTTGTTTTGCATAATTTTAATAAAGTGATAAAGACCAGGGAAAAGCCTACTTTTTATTGGTATATTAAAAATAATTTTAACTTTGACAAAACATAGGTAACATTACATATAGCCTAATCATTTTCACAAATATATGCTGTAAAATAAAGAAGATATAATATAATATGAAAGTATGTCTTAAGAAAATCAACCATGGTTTTACTTTGAATAGTTTGTTTTCCCCCACGGCATAAACGGATATGACGTTTTCGTGGGTGTTCTCAGTAATGCCGACCAAGCCTGTTGGGTTTTTAAAATGTTTTTCTTTTTTTAATGAGTAAAATAAAGCCTGTTTTAAACATAACTTGATGATACTTTCACGTTTTGTTCTACAAACTGCACACCCTCACACTTTTATAGTTATTTATTAGTAAATTGTTTTCAAAAATAAACATAACTGCTTTAAAATTCATGTTTTCATTATGGGTGTGTGCAGTTTACGTTGTACAACAAAATGTCATCATCAAGTTATGTTTACCACAGGCTTGCCGGTTCTGATGTCATACCTGCACCACTCTATATGTCCCCAAGCGAGCAACCCCCTTCCTATAATATAAAGTTAACCTGAAAAAACAAATGTTTCAGCACAACTGTTTTTAACATTGATAATAATAAAAATGTTTGATGAGCACCAAATCAGCATATTAGAATGTTTCCTGAAGAATTATGTGACACTGAAGACTGAATAACTGCTGAAAATTCAGCTTTGCCATCACAGAAATAATTTACATTTACATTACAATAGAAAATAGAAACAGTGAATTTAAATATATATATATATATGAAGAACTTACAAAGTAATATGGAAGGGTCCTCCTAGGGCAGACTGGCCAAAATAGCGTTTAGCTCCCACTCTCAAAATACTGGGAACCTGAAAATAATTCATGATAAGGAGTGTTTTGGCATACTACCAATAATATTTGACTAGTTATAACATAATGTTTCTAATGTCAGAAAAAGTTTTGCTGACCTCTATCAGCAGAATAACGATGGCTCCTATGACACTGATAATTTCTCCAATTAAACGCAGGTGATCTTTATAGGTCTGATAGCTCTCCTAAACATACAAAAAACCATTAAGTTCCTGCAGATATAAAAGTGCTTTGATATACAGAAACATAAAAATATTGTTTCACACCGTAAAGCTTTTCTGCACTTTTATGGTTTGGTCGTTGTCTGCTTTGGTGTAATTCTCAGGAATATCCTTCAGGGGGCGGTTTATACAACACAACGTGAATATGCTAATATACAGCAGGTACACCAGCATCAATAACCTGCAAACAGATCAATAGAGCAATATCGTCAGTGTAGCTGAAATCATAAACATCGTTTCATAGCATATCACTGCTTTCAAAGTGAAATATGGTCTGTGTAATATGTGTATAAAATCTGAAAAAATGCTAAATATGTGGAAAAACTTGAAGCTTTTGAAGAGTCAGCTGAAGAAAAACAGGTACAACAGGGACAACATATCATAATGTTCCTTTAAACCTCCATATCATATTAACCTACATTTTAAACATAATTATATCAACTCTTTTTGTTTATGATATTACATTTAGACCCTAGATTATATATCTATTACATATAAAAGATAAATATATAATATAATATTTTTCACCATAAAATGTAATTCATTGACCTAAAAACAGACAAGCTAGTTGCCTTCGATTTTCTTTGTACTTTTTTTAAATTAATTAAGAAATTTAAGAAATGTAGATATTTAAAGGGTTAGTTCACCCCAAAATGAAAATTAGCCCATAAATTACTCACCCTCAAGTCATCCTAGGTGTATATGACTTTCTTCTTTCAGACGAATCCAGTCGGAGTTATATAAAAAATTGTCTTTGAAGTTTCAAGTTGTTTCATGGCACTCAGCGGGTGTTGCATGCATCAGTCCAAAAGAAGTTACATAAAAAGCACCCATCCATAAAAGAAAGTGTCTCACGCGGTACCGAATCGATGCGTTTTTGTATGAAAAATATCCATATTCAAAACGTAATAATCACTTTAATGTAACTTGCGCCAACAGTCCTACACGGAAGCAGTTCCGGGCAGATGATGTATGGAGGTCGGCTTTGTGCATGCGCCGCTCAGAAGTGACGCACGTGGAAACGCAGTGGAGCGATCGACCCAAAACACTGGTCACTTCTTAGAAGTACAAAACGAGGATTTGTAAAGAAGAATGTCGGAGGATTTCGATATAAGCCAAGAGGAGACTGGGTTTCCTTTGCTAAAGTAAGGAAACTTTGCTTCCTTTGCTCCTGTTAACAAACGTTGGTTTTCACGAGACTCACTGACGCATGCACAACGCTGAACTCATACGTCATGCTCCCGGAACTGCTTCCTTGTAGGACTGTTGGAGCAAGCTACATTAAAGTGATTATTACATTTTGAATATGGATATTTTTCTTACAAAAACGCATCGATTCGTTACAGGAGGCCTTTGTTCACCCCCCGGAGCCGTGTGAGACAGGTTTTTTATGGATGGGCGCTTTTTATGTAACTTCTTTTGGACTGATGCATGCCACACCCGCTGAGTGGCATTAAACAGCTTGAAAGATCAAAGACAATTTTTTATATAACTCCAACTGGATTCGTCTGAAAGAAGAAATTCATATACACCTAGGATGACTTGAGGGTGAGTAATTTATGGGCTAATTTTCATTTTTGGGTGAACTAACCCTTTAAGTAATGTTCACTTGATTAAAACTAATAAAAAAAGTCTTTAGCTAAAAATATTTTTAGTTTATTAATTAAAAATAAATAAATAAACTAAATGCTGTTTTTTTTAATAGTATGTGATAGTAAGGCACCTGAAGTAATGTTTCCCATACAGATTCCACTTCAGTCTGACGAGCTGTCGAACTGGAGTCAACTCAAGAATCCTTCTGGCCTGAGACAAGAGAGGATACACAAATCACTTTGTTAAGAGATGAACTAAGAATAGCTCAACTACAGCAATTTGATTTAGTCTGTTACTGCTGATGATTTTTTTTCCATCATTAATGTTTACAAGTGTAGTGAACTGTTCGACTTGAATTTTTCAGGTTCTTCCTGTCAGGTCCTGTTTGATAAGCTGTATTGCATCCTGCATACATTTACACACCTCTCTTTTCTGACTGCTGACAATGATCTCAAGCACTGAGAGGTCATCCTCCCTGGAGTCAACCTCAGTAAGATCATAAAGGTTGGAGGACAATGGTCCCAGACTCCACTGAATGATCCGCCTGCGGTTAGCCAAGTGCTGGAAGGCCTGTGCAACATCACAAAAACATCAAGCAGTGTTCTTTAAATGCC